GCCGCAAAACAAGTACAAATTTCAAAGATCTTCTGCGAGAATTCGTTTGTTCCCGAAAATTTTTTTAAATTATTAATTAATTAATTTATTTATTTCCAGGTGACTTTTTACACTCTTTTGCCCCTCAGAATAATGTCGAGATTGTGGGGAGCCATAACGAACATTGATTTACCCGTTTTCATTAGGCCAAAGATTTATTCGTTGTACGCGAGTTCATTCGGAGTCAATTTGGACGAATGCGAAGTACAAGATCTTACGCGTTATAAAAGTCTTTCGGAATTTTTCATAAGGCCTCTGAGAGAAGAGTGCAGGCCCATAGATTCGGATCATAGGTGCATAGTGAGTGTTTGAACCCCTCCCCCACCCCTCTGTCCTCTTCTCTTACGAGGAGGAGGAGGAGGGGAAAGAGAGCGAACCGGAAACAGTTTAAGAAAGAACCGAAAATTTTTTTTACACGTTTTCAGGTATCTCCGGCAGACGGTAGAGTTTTAACATTTGGAAAAATCACGAGTTGTCAAGTCGATCAAGTCAAAGGAGTGACGTATTCGCTGCAGCAATTTTTAGGTATTTATCGTTTGTTTGTTTGTTTGTTTGTTCGGTTGTTGTTCGCTCACGTCACGTCACGTCATGTCGCGAATGATTTATCATTGCTAACTACTTCCTCTTTCCTCCGTGATTCATTTTCAAGTTACAAAAGAAATAATCACGGCCGGGAGTCGTGTCCCTCCCCCTTCCTCCCTCCCTTCCCGTCTCATTATTTATTGTTTCGTGAAATGATGATTTTTCAGGTAAGCAATCGTGGCGAAAAATGACAAATCGTTCGACTCAAACAACTTTCGAGGGTTTGAACAACGTGGCAACGTCGCCGATCAATCATTTAGACGAACAATCCGACGACGAAAACACTCAAAACGTCGATCCGGGATTTCCGAGGTACAAATTCAGGCTCGCGGAATCCGGTATGAGCAAACTTCCGGGAAAAGAGTACCTGTTGAGGTTGAAGGAAAGGCAAGACACGGATTTGTATCAGTGCGTCGTGTACCTGGCACCCGGAGACTATCACAGGTTTCATTCTCCGGTCAGTTGGAAAGTCAAATTCAGGCGGCATTTTCAAGGTAAGGTGAAAAAGAAAGGAGGGAATGTTCGGTGCGGTGGCGGTGTCCTTGCTGCTGCTGCTGTTGCTGCTGCTTCCACTTTTCCATTTGAAAACGCAACGTTCAATTAAATTTTCTCTCGTTTCCCCCTCTTCCCATTCTTCCTAACACTTGCTCTCCTCTTTCTCCTTCTTTTCCAATAATTTTCGTGTTTTTTTTTTTTTTGTTGTTTCCATTTTCCTTTCCGGGAAATCCGATCGATTAACAAATAATAATAATAATAGTAATAATAATAATGTTTTATTTTCAGGAAAGCTTTTGAGCGTGAATCCAGCTGTCGCGAGTTGGATAAATAATTTATTTTCATTAAATGAAAGAGCCGTTTACGTCGGATCGTGGGAACATGGATTTTTCAGTTTGACCGCCGTCGGTGCGACAAATGTCGGATTCATAAGAGTCGTTTTCGATCCGGTGAGTTCCCACAGAGAGAGAGAGAGAGTGAGAGGGGGGGGTGCAGAGGGAGGTAGAAATAGAGTGAGTAAGATTGTATTTGTTTGTCGTTTGTCGTTTGTTTTTCAGACGTTGCAAACGAATCGTTGGATCGTTTCACCAAGAGAAAGAGACTTATTTTTCGCACAAAAAGACTGGAGGAGAGGAAACGGAGAGGAGGCGGAGAGAAAAGTCAGGTTCGATAAACCTGTTGAAATACAAAAGGGACAATTGTTCGGTGAATTTCGTTTGGGTTCGACGATCGTTTTAATATTCGAAGCTCCGAAAAATTTTAAATTCGACATTGAAAACGGACAAAAGATAAAATACGGAGAAAAAATCGGAGCTTATACGACGTGTTAACGATTATCACGATGATGATGATAATGATGATAATGATAATGATGATGACGAGTAAAGTTTTTTTTTTATGTAACCGTCGTCGTCGTCGTGTAAATAATAATCGCAAAAAATCGTTTTTTTTTTTTTTTTTTATATTTATTGATGAAATATTATTTTAAGATAAAGTTTTTATTTAATAATAATAATAATAATTAATAATAATAATAATATTTTTAATAATTTTAATTCGTTTTTTTTTTTTACTTGCGTCAACGGGGATGTGATGATGAAGGAGATGAAGGAGAAAATGGAAAAGTTTTGGGGAAAACAAAGGGAAACATTATTATCATCATCATCATCGATCACGTGGTTTCGATTAATTTAAAAAAATTATTATTCATTTAAAATTCATTTATTTAAAAAAAAAATAATTATTATTATTATTATTATTTATTAATCATCGTCGAAATTATCATCTTCGTTTTCTTTATCTTCGCCTTCTTCTTCGTCTACGTCATCATCGCCGCCGCCATCATTATCATTATTATTATCGAATTTATTCATTTTTTTAGCCAACCTTTTACCTTTTCTCTTTTCATTTTTTTCAATTAACGTTTTATCTAATTTTCTTAATTTTGGTAGAATGGCTACGACTTCGATTCTGTCGTAATAATAAAAAAAAAAATTTTTAACCGTAATAATAATAATAATAATAATAATGTTATGAAAAAATTTTCCGTCGATCGGTACCTGTAATTTCTTTTCGTAAATGGATTTTCCGTAACTACAAGTCTTTTTAATTTAGGTAAAACTGATAACTTTTTAAGTTCTTTAACGTTTTGTATTTGACAATTTCTAAAAAAAAAAAAAACAACAACACAAATAATAATAATAGCGGAAGCGGAAACGGAAACGATTGAAATATTTATAATAAATAATAATAATAATAATAATAAACCTTATATTTATGTAAAATAATTTACGATTAACTTCGGTAAAACCATTTAAATTTTTCAATGGATTATTTCTTAAATGTAAAAATTTTAAATTTGTCAATATTTCTAATCCGTTTAAATTCGATATATCGTTGTCTGCCTGAAAAGTTTTAAAAAAAAACCGTTAAAAAAAACAATCAATAATAATAATAATAAAAATTTGAAAAAAAGGGAAAAAAGTCTTACCAAAAATAATGAAACTAAATTAGGAAAATTAATTCCTTTTAACGATTTCAAACCGTTGTTTCTCAAACCTAATTCTTTTAATTTTGGCAACCTTTTCGAACCCCATAATTCAGGTTCTAACAATTGAATATTGTTACCTTATGCCAAAAAAAAAAAAATTAAAAAATTAAAATTGTTATTGTTGTTGTTGTTTTTGTTGTTGTTGTTGTTGTTGTTTACCTGCAAGTTCTAAATATTCAAGATTTGGTTGAAAATTAATTTCACATGATGTTATTTTATTTTCTTTCAATGATAATAACTAAAAACGAAAAGAATTATTTATTTATAAACAATTTTATATAATTTTAATAATATATATGTGTGTGTAATTGAAAAATAAACCTGTAATTGTGGGAATAATGGTAATAATGCAGATTCTATACGATTTTTATCAACAATTAATGTAACAAGTTGTTCCATTTCAGCCAATGATGTAAGGCTATCATCATTTAAACGATTTCTTGATAAATCCAAAAACATAACATGAGCAAAATATGGTAAAACATCAACGTTTGTTAAATTTCTAAAAAAAAAAAAAAAAAATTATTATTAATTATTCTTGTTTTGGTAAGTGAATATACTTATACTTTATTGTTGTTTATATTAAGTTTAAAAGTTAATTTAATGAATTCTTTCTCTTTTTGGGCTTTATATTTACTTTCCAACGACGTTCATGGCAACATATGCATAACTGCAAGAACTGTATGAAAAAGCTGTGTCTATTTTAATAAATGTTGGTCCGACGCAATTAAGACAATCTGCTGCTTCATCTTTTGTTAATAACTTTGGTACTTCGATTTCATCGATTCTGAAAAATCAAATTGAATACATATATTTAATAACAATTTCAATATTATTATGATTATATGGTTACACATAAGTTATTGTTTACATGGATGAAATTCAAATCAAGTAAGTAAATTTACATTATTTTATTATGCTAATACGTTTTTTTTTATAAATATTTTGTCTTAAAAACGCGAAAGTTAGCACGATACGTATTAATTTTGACGATAAAATATTTGATTTACTCACAAATCAAATTCTCCTTCGTCCTCCATTACAGACATAACGAATACACACACACACAGACAATAATAATATTTAATTCGATTTGTTGTTATTATTATAATCCACCATTTCGAAATTCTTTTGTCACTTAATAAACTTTTCGAATTCGAAAAGTAGTTAATTAAAAATAAAACCAACCTATGAATTAAAAAACCAAATCACAAATCACAAACGATGCTAAAAAGTATATTCGATTATGATTTTAAAATTTAACGGTTTTTTTCACCGCCTTCTTGATAATCGTTACAACTACTACGTAATCAATTTTCCCTCCAATATAATTAACCGTTGAGTTTTGATGTTTTCTTTTTGTCACACACGTTTTGAAACATCAATAAGAATGAGGTTAAATGAATTAAATCTTTTATTTTTTGTAAGTTTTTTTATATAATTTAATTTCGTCAATATTAAAATTAATAAATTCGTGCGTCAAATGAATATTTGTACAAAAAAAAAGAATTTTTTTTTAAATTAAAAAAAAAAAAAAAACGCATCACAGAAAAATGTTTCTATTCGTTACTGTATAGATTGACAAAAAGGAGAAATTTATATAAAAATTATTCAAATTTTAATGGCACTGCATATGTCGAATTCCAATCTCTTTCGAAAACATGTTTAAGTTGTTCTTGTATGACATTTTCTGTTTCGTTATTATAGGGAGCCACGATGCTGACGCCGGCTGTCGTGAGAAAATAATCTCCCGACCAATTAGACGTACCTAAAAAAAAAAAAAAAAATTAGTTTTTATTTTCAAAAGAAAAGACATGTCGTATAAATTAATTAATCATAAAATTATGTTTTTTTTTTGTTTGATTTTATACCTATAAAAGCTCCATTATCTGTCACCATATATTTATTATGATTAACTCTTGCAAATGGAATTTTACTTTGGGTGGAGTCGCTTGGAACATTAAACATTTTCTAAAAGTCATAAAATAATATTAATTTAATTACTAGATATATAAATGAGAGAATTATGTTTTTTTTTAATTATTTAAAACTCACTACTTCGAGAACGGCATTTTTTTTAAATTTATTCACAGATAATAATGATCTTAAAAAATTATAAGACATGGGTTTTGTGTGATTCCATTGGGATATAAGGAGTCTGACTTTAACGTTTCTATTTACCACAGCCGTACGTAGAGCATCATCAATGTCTGGCCAATATCTATGAAAAAAAAAAATAACAAAAATATTGTTCGAATTCTAAAACAAAAACTATTCATTTTTATAAATTTTTAATTACTTTAAATGTTTTGAAAATACAATGAGTGGTAAATATTCCATAACGGATATGTGAATAAATTTTTTAGCATCTTTTATTATTTGTAGTAAACCAGCTAAATCATCATTTCTTCCAGTTGGAGAAAATTGCGGTGGTGAACTCTGAAATTTATTTATTTATTTATTTTTTTTCCAGATATTATTATTATTATTAGGGGAGAGCAGGAGAAGAAGAAGAATAATTTACCGAAATGTACAATGATGTTTTTCTTTCATTCAATGGTAAAATGAAAGGATTTTTCGAATTGTATGATGTTGATAAATCATCAGACCATTTACTAGGCAAACTTGTTTCGTTTCCAACTGTCCAATAAACATCAAATATTTTTCCAAGGTCATCAGCAACAGAAGAACAATTGTAAAAAGCAATACCGAGTTCTTTCACCTGAAAAACCCATGTAAGTTTTATTTTTTTTATTTACATCATCATCATCATCATGATCATCATCGCTAATAACTCGATTTGAATTTTTAATTTTTATTATGGATAACCCCAAAAATAGGTTTATTTCAATAACTCGTGATATTATCATTTACTTTAAACAAAAACAAAAAATTTATAATAAATTATTATCTAATCAATTCGATATGACAACCATATCAATAGTAACAATTTAATTTTAAAAAAAAATACCTGAGTCAGAGCTCTCCAATCGAGATTTGCACTTCCAACATAAAAATGTTTTCTATCGACAATCCAAAATTTTGTATGTAAAACACCAGAACCGATAAGTTTATCAAAATCTAAATATTTAACAGTTGCTGCTTTTTTAAGCATCAAATAATTTGTATCTCCACTTGAGAATGCTTTCGTTGGAAGACTTTCTGCTATTTTTATAGTTATATTTCTATTTAATCCAGCATTTAAAAGATCTTTAAAAACTTTATCACCCTAAATTGATTAAAAATTAATTTTTAATTAGAGCCAATACAATTTCAATTGTTGCATTTTGTCATTTTTTTCGATTTATTACATGTAAAAGAAATCGAAAGAAATTTTTTTTTTTTTAAGAACAATTAGATATGATAATTAAACATAATTTTTTTTTTTAAAAGATAAAACAATAAAAATTTAAAAAGTAAAGTGCAAGAACAGAACAAAGGTTGATTGGTTTTTTTTTTTTTTTAAATTAAAAAATAATCTAAACAACAAATGAAGTAGAAAAAAAAAAAAAAAAAAAAAAGATAAAAAAAAAATTTATAATCGAGCATACCTCGGATGATTGTGAAGGAAATTTTTCATCCGTTCTCATTGACCAATAAAAACTTCCAATTTCGATTGTATGTTCAGCTAATTTTATAAGATTATCCCATGTTTCAAATGTGGATTTAAATTTTTTCGCATCAGGTGGATAAACAAGTCCCTCGGGAATACTTTCGACAATTTCAAAACTTTTAAAAAACAAAATTTTAAATAATAATTATTCATTGTTAAATGTTTCGAGTGCAATCACCTACCAAAAATTTTGCTTGTTTGACAAATTAATAAAGCCATCTAAGCAAACTTTTTTGTTATGAAGAAAAAAACATTTGATTTAATATTTTTAAAAATGTTTTGTAAAACATTTTTAAATGAATTATTTAAAGTACGAATGAAGTTTAAATAAAATTTCCATTCTCACCTGCATTCATCTTGATTAATTAATAACTGTTTGTTTAATAAAAATTGTATTTTAAGATCAACTTGATCTAATAATGGCAATAAAACAATTAGGAAAAGTAAAATCAAAATTAAAAATAGGGGAATATATGAAAACTGCCACAATTTAGTTTTTTTTATTTGATATGACTTGATTTGACTTTCGATACTCCAAATATTATTTTCCGTGTTAATATTATTAACATTATTTTCGACAACCTAAAAAAACATTACTTTATTAATTTGAATAAAAATTACAATTATAAAAAAATGTCGAAAACCATTCACAAAAAAAAAATTTAATAAATTTAACCGAAAAAAATTTTTTTCAAAAATTAAAACTTACTTCTTTATGAGGTTTTATTTCAAATAATTTACCAACCATATTTAAAAAAAAAAAATAATAATGGACGGATAATTAATTAACTGTTTTTTTTTTTATTAGTTAAAATTAAACATTAGTTTGTTCGACGACAACCGAATACAATTTCTAACTAACTAAAACTAAAACTAAATAATAATAAGTAAAAAGTTTCAGGTTATGTTTGTCATTAATTGAAATTAAGCGCTACCAACCGTTGAAAATTTATTATTTATCGTTAACGTATTTAAATTAGTATAAAAAAATTTAAGTAATTTGGGTTGGCATTCTTTAAAACGAATTATTAGTGAAAAGTGCAACGGATTTTGGCGGTTGTGTTACAATTAAAATATAATTATAATAATAATAATAATAATTAAGGTAAGATTATTAATTAATAATTAAAAAATTGAAATTATTTAATATTAATAGAAATTAATTATTATTTTTTACTCTCTCTCTCTCTCTCTATTTGTGAAAATAATAGAAAATAATAATTTTAACCACACAACCATTGAATAGTGTCCAAATTGTAAAATAAATCTTAAAAGTTTATTTTAAAATGGTTTAAACATGATTTAAAACATAATTTATTGAAATTTTACTTCATGTTATATAATAAAACACAAAAATGTTGAAAGTTTTAAATATTATAAACATAATTTTCATCAATGAGTTTTACATGATGGTGTTTCACACAATGTTGTGTGTACTTTTACAAACATAATAAGAAAATTTGTTTTTATGGATTTATTAATTACCTTTATTAAAAGTTTATGGATGAGGGCATGAGTAACAATAATTGAAAACATAATTGTAACAACATAAAAACTTAAAATTCAAAAATTCAATCATAAATGTTTTAATTAAAATATATATATATATATATATATATATATATATAAATCATTCATAAATAGTTATTCATTCAAAATGAAATTTATTTAAAAAAAATAGAAAAAAATAAATAAATAATTTTTTATATAAAATATGGATGGAAAAAAAAAAAAGACAAAACATAAAAAATTTTTTCAAAATGAGCAGAGATTCTTCTCTCAAAACACAAAAGCCATAAATAATTTTCAAGAGACAATAGAAATTTAAATTTTTTTTTTTTTTTTCACTTAACTAATATATATATATATATATTTTTAAAACGCACAAGAGGAAACAACTTTGAAAGCGTAGGAAGAGGGAGAGGAAGAAGAAGGGTGGGGGGAAATAGGAAACATAACGTGAGAATAGAAAAAAGGGAAAGAGGGGAAAAGGTGGAAATGGGTCGAAAGACTCATGTCGCAAATATGAAAAAACGTCCCTCGAGTGCCATTTTTATATTTTTTCCTAAAAAAAAAAAAAAAAAAAAAAAAGCTAACTCACACGCACTCACGCACGCACAAAATTGTAAACCGAGTCCTCCGGTTAACATAAATTTTTCCCCCCCTCCCCATTTTGGAAAAAAAAAAAAAAAAAGAAAAAAAAAAGAGTAGAGATATATGTGAATTAACTATGAAGACAGGAAAAGAAAATTTTGTGGAAAAAAAAAAAAAAAAAAAAAATGGGGACCCTTTTGAAGAATGAATCGAAAGGGAAGAAGAAAAAAAAAAAAAGGAGGAAACATCAGAAAATAATAATGATGAACATTTTCGAGATCCCTTTTACAACAACAACAACAACAACCGTTTGTCGTTAAAGAATGAAACAAAACAAATGATTTTATTTTGCGGTTTTTGTTTGTTTTTTTTTTTTTTTTTTTTTTTGCAAAATTTATTTATTACAACAATGGATTGAATTTTTTTTTGTTTTTTTAACCTTTGAACTCTTACACGTTTATCATTATCATTTATATAAAAAATTATTTTAAAACCGCAAAAGGAATTAAAAATTATTATTATTATAAATCATTATTAAAAAAACGTGTGCGTTAATCATCATCGTGACCGCTATCGACGCCATATTTATTTTTTTTTTTTTATATTTACGTATTTATATATATTTATAAAATTTTTTTTTTTTGTAGGTTTTTCCAAAAAATGAAAAATGGAAAAATGGGAAAAAAAAGAAATCCCGGATCGAGGGTATTGATTTTGAGAGGGGAATTCGTGCAAATAATTGGAAAAAAATTGAAAACAAAAAAAAAAAAAAAAAGGAAAAAAGAAAAAATAGAAAAGAAAAATTGGGTTTCACAATTCAAAAAACAACGTGGAGGTAGATAAATATATATATTTTTCTTTTTTCTTTTTTTTTATTTTCTGGTCATGAATATCCAATGACACGATGGGTTTTTTTTTTTTTTTTTTTTTTTTTTTTTTGGGAAAAAAAATAAAATATATAAAATCCCTGAAGGATAAAAATAAAAATTTGTCATATAAACAAAAAAAAAAAAAACACGGTAAGTTTGACAAGAACAACGTAACGATAACAATAATAATAATAATAATAATAATAATAAATGCAAAAGATTTTATGGATATTGTAATCATTCGTACGAAAAATCTCGAAAAAAAAAAAAAATACAACGGTTTTTTTTTATTTATATAATTTACATAAGACATAAACATAATAATTTCTTGTTGTTTGTTTGTTTGTTTGACGAACAAAAGATGTTTTTTTTTTATACAAAAACATTTTTTTGTTTCTCTCCTTACGAGGGTTTTGCCAACAAGAAATAAGAAAGGGAAATTTTTTTTTTTTAACGAACAAACAAAATGTTTTAGTGAAAATTTTATTATTATTTTAAAATTGAATGTTTTTTTTTAAGTTAATTTTTATTTTACTCGCTTGTTTTTCATTAAACATAATGAAAAAACATAAAAAAAACATTTTTTCCCATTGAAAGCCTTATTTATTTTGTTATTCGTCTATGTTTCCATTACGTGACACGATTTCTTATTACTTACGTGTTACATAAAATAAAATAAAAAGGAGGGAAAAACAAACAAAATTTTATAAATAAATATTCAAAATTATTATTATTATTATTATTATTCTTTTCATTATAATTAAAAAATTTGTTTATGTATGCATATATATATTGTAATCGTGACTTTTTGTTTTCATACACAAAAAAATTCGTATTTGAATGTGAATGAAAATAAAAACCACAATCGATTTTACTAATCATTATCATTATCATCATCATTTCATCCCCTATTTTCGATCATAACCCAAGCGAACAAACAAACACCACATGAACAATCTTAATTAACAACAACAACAATTCCACCTGTTTTTAACTTGATAACAAAACTTGCGGCGTGAATTAATTTTGATTTTATATATTTATATCTTTTGAGAGATGGATTAAACACAAACGATTTCAACCCCATCCCCATTCCCCTCCCGAAAAACTAAAGAAATTTTCAATGATAACGTTTATTATCATTTAAAATTTTCTTATAATTAAAAATTAATTTTTTTTTTTTTTATTTTATTTTACCCCAAAGTGTAATTAATAAAATTTTCACGATCGATAATTCACGTTGTCGTAAATTTTTTTTCCCCGTTTTTTTCATCCCCAAAAGGATTGTTGTTTCATGCAATATACTACTACGATGCATGTTGTTGTTGTTGTTGTTGGAAGAAATAAGATCGAAGGGTAAAAAACATTAAAGGGATATATATATATATATGTAATGGCATAGATTAGGTGATAACTTATTGTTTTTTTTTTTTTTTAGTTCACATCAAATTAAAAACCGAAAAAAACAATTTTTCGGTTCATTTCCTGTCATTTACTATTTTTTCCCTTTTTGTATTTATAGTTTTTTGTCTCCCTTCTTGTTTTCTTTTTTTTTGTTAACCCAGGAGAAATGGATCCCTAATCGGTAGTAGGGAGAGAGTGGGAGGACTTAGCCGAAGCCACTACCCAAGTAAAATTCCTAGAGGGAGGAGCGTTCGCGAAGTACAACCTGCATTTTAGACTAAACCTCCTGAGTTAGAACCATAAAGTACCCATATAAGGAAGATCCAGGTACTTCTTCTTTTTACCCTTCGAGAAACAATCCCTATTTGTTTGTTCCTGCCTCTTTCGCGGAGTCTTCGAGTTTCCGGAGGGAGATGTCCGGGGTTCCGAATCCTGTTGATCATTCACATCTGCATTCCCTTCATGTCACAGCTCCACATTTCCCCTATTTGGATCAAGTACCCAGACTCACCCCCACAGAAAAAGGGTCAGCGTATCCCAAAATCCTCGAAAGGGTGTTAGTTCACTTATTCCCTTATGTAGGTACAGGTCTGTTCTTGTCAAAACAAGCCGAAATTGAACTCTCACTTCCAGGATTTGAACTCGCGACTCTCAAGGCTCACTCGTTGACTTTTGAGCCCATTTTTCCCCTTTTCAGACTTAACCTGACTACCTCGGGTTCCTCAAAGACATCCAATTGAACTCAACGGGGGAAATCCAATCCCAGAATCCCCACCCTTAAAACATTCTTCATACCCAGCCTCCGAGTAGTTGAACTCCCAACTTCCTCCTCCCTCCCATCGATTTTTTTTTTTATTAAAAATTTCGATTGTTTTTCAGGTTTCAATCAAAAGGAAAAAAAAAGAAAAAAACAGTAATACACGGTGATAATGGGGGACCACGAAAAAAAAAAACAAATTCAATGAAAAATTTTTTTTTGGCTGAACACACGAACGAGGGAACGAGGTAAGTTAATTGTTAAAAGAATTTAACTATGGGTAATAAACACTCCTTGGTGACTTAAATCAATATTCCCGGATTGATTATTATTATTATTATTATTTATTAAAACTTTAGCGTAGTATATCCAAACATCTTTTGTTGAATAATAAGAAGAACAAGGTTTAAAGTAGACAATTACTTTAATTAGCACCATCCGAAAA